AATTGTATCCTGAACTATGGTACTAGAAAGAGCCTAACATTAAAGAAGTCAGACAGCTGAACTCTTCCGTTGTCTGTTCTAAAATGAAAAGTTTGAGGTTTTCCTCCTCCAGTTAATTACTGCCTAGAACCTTTCAATTGCTCATTTCATGGGGACATTCTATATTTACATGGTATTGCCGTGGTTTTTCTTTGTGGTTTAACCATATAATGGAACAGCAAAGGTCAATACTAACTACAGATTACTTTGCCAAAGTAAAATACACCCATATTTATTCCAACCCCCTAATTTTGCAGCTATTGGTTTAGTTTGACTCATGTAAATCAACTCAGTAGCTTAACTCTCCGATTTTAAGGTCTTTTTTTCAAAGAGACAGTTTGAGTGGTGTGTTTTGTTTTTTTTTTTTTAAACAGCCAGAGGGGCATAGTCTATATATGTGCACAGGCAGCAGAATCAAAATACAAAGTGAAAAATAAGTAATGAATGATAAATAAACTTGCATCACAGTGGGAGAGAAGGGGCTGGATGAGGAAGGACAGCAGCGATGAGAGATCCTTGGCTCAGCCTCTGGTTATTGGGTTGCAGGGGGTGTTGTATTTGTGTGGCAGTGGAATTCTTCCAAGGGCCATTATTGGAGGTGCATGAGCAAATCTTGGCTGTGGCAGCTGGTAGAGAGCAAGGACTGAAGTGTCCTTTTCCCAGAGCTTTCTGCCCTACAGCCACGCTCTGCCAAAGCGGATATTTTTGTGCGATAGATATCACAAGTATTTTTTTTAGCAGTACATTGTTTTCAGCAGTTATAATGACCTTGACAGAGGAGTCAATGCATTCCTCCTTCCATCACCAGAATTTCTGCTGCTTGGTGGCATGTGTAAGCCAAAGCCAGTAGCTAAAATATGTCTTTGCTTTTTGAGAAAGATAAATGTTGATATTTTCCTGAAACTGTTAACATTGCAACCCATCAGAAGATAACACTGTTTTGTGAAAACATTTCACCTTTTGAAACTGGATGAAAAACATTCAGATATTTAAAGCAACAGTTCTGTCTTATTTTCTCTTTGCCCAGTTGTAAATATTTTCCAGCATAAGGTTTGTGGAAGCCAGAATGAAATAACATTTTCTGGTTTCAATACATTGCGAGGTGAGCAGTCAGTACTTTCAACTGCTTATAGAAGGAATGTGGAGAGAAAACCACAAAAAGAATCAAAGGTGACAGCTAGCTCGGATGTGTACATGGATATAAATAAAAAGAATTGTCTGAATAGTTTGCAACCAATTTAAATGGCTTATTAAAACTTTTGTAATTTGAGTTGCCCTCACAAGCATTCACAAAAAGAACATTTTATTCCAGCTGTATATAAGAGCAACTGGAGCTTTGGATTTGGTGTATGAGAAGGATTGGTTTGTAATATAAATTCCCAGCATTGCTACATTTGGTGCCTGGGTACTAGTAGCATAGACTCTACATCAAAAGTACACTCGGTTTTGTAACCATTGTTCTTTGGATTATTTTTTATTAATTCAACTAGCTCTAAAACCTTTAAAATATGAAATAATTTGAAAGTTCTTGTTCTGCTCTTTTCAAATACGTTACCTGAGTGGCTGCAGGGCCTGTTGCCAGAGTCAGAGTAGCCGCAGTGCGTGTCGTTTTACCGTCAGAGCCAGAGACCTTC